GCCGAACAGCCTTCGAACGGACAGTAGTGTTTGTCCCACGTGATGATCAAAGACTCGCACAAGATTTTGTCCCAACGCTCGTAAACGTCCTTTGGGATCAGATCTCGACACGTATAGGGCTCTATAAGTCGCGTGCACTCCACGTCAGGGCATTTGATCCTCGATGCGTTTTCTTGGATCTTGGTCTCTACGTAACGGATGGTGCACTCGGTGCAGTAAGAGTGAGTGCAGTTTGTTGTTCCTTTGAAGATTTCGGAGATTGGTACTTCGTCCATGCAGATTATACAGAACCTTTTAGATGGATCCGCGGGTTCGTTGTCGGTTTTTATCTCTGATTCTTCCTGGCTAATAACCGCTGCGGATTTCTTCTCGGTTTGGTTTTCTGGTTCTTCTTGGTTAATCAACGTGGCGGAATCATCGGAGTCATCATGGAGTTGATGAGGGTAATCATCGGAGTCATCATCATCGGAGTCATAATGGACTTGATAAGGGTAATCATCGGAGTCATCATGGACTTGATGAGAGTAATCATCGGAGTCATCATGAACTTGATGAGGGTGGTGATTGATCTCCACCCTTGAAGCGATTGAGGAATAAATCAGAGCTTCTCGAAGTTGAAATTCATCCATATAGGATCCATTGACCAACACATTAACCAAGTCCCTATGTCTCCTTGACGATGATGAGAAGCAAGTACCCATATCGTCTTGTTCTGTTTTTTCTCCTTTGTTTTGAGATTGATTTAGGTGCAATTCATGTTAGATGATGGCCTTGGATGTTGAATTCGAAGGTAATATGCATTGGATTAATTTAGTTATATCATGTTACATGAATGAAAATTTTCTATTCTTAAAAATGTACTTTTTTCTTATTTTACGAATAAACAAAATATGGTAACATTGCTAGAATTTGTTACAATTCAAACAGAGAGAATAGAATTTGTTACAAATAAAATTAAAAAGTACTCCATTTTGCTTCTCGTTATAGAATTTAAGCCCATAGAAGGCCCATAGCTAGCCCAATTGAAGAAGAGGGCGATGAAGCTTCTAGAGCGTAACAGAGACTGGGCGATGAAGCACCATTGTTGGGAAATTCGAGTTCTGATCACTGATGAATCGGAAGAAAATGAAGATGTTCGTCGGAGAAAAGAGAAGATGGATTCTCCGACCAACTATGGGGAAGAAAGAAACCCTAGCTCCCCTACTGTTTCCACTTCCAACCAGAGCCACGTCGATCCTTTCGTTCCCGGACTCCTCTCCGATCTCCTTCGACGAAGCGCTCGAGAAAGCTCTCGCTTCCGCTTCCCCTCATGTCTCCGTTCAGGATTGTCTTGCCGATCGAATTCAACAAATCACATCGGGTCTTCTAAAATCCACTGAACGATACTTCCAGAAGCGAGATGCTTTCCACAATTCCTCCCTCGCGAACTCACTATTAAGGTAAACCTGTGACGATCTGTGTTATTGAATCCATTCTCATTCTGTGTTCTTCATGAGTG